TTTCTTTTAAATTATAAAAAATTAGTTTTAGTAATTATTACAAGTAAAAGTAACTTATTATATAGTTTATATAATCAAAATTTCTTAAAATAAATTTTTAGTTATACTTTAATAAATTATATAATTTTTTAAATTTGCAAAGAGTATATATTCTTTATTTTAAAAATATTTTACCAAATTTTCTTTTATTTTATTAGTAACTTCTACAATTTCTCTTTCTTTTATATTTTTAAATAATTTTACATAATAATATTTATATTTATTTTAAATTAAACTATTTTAAATATATTCTTAACAAATGAATTCTCTTATAATAATTTTATAAATATAAAAATCAGACTTTATTTATACATATTCAGTTAAAAGTTTTATAAGATTATCTATCATCTTTATTAATCCTTTATTATATGTTCATTAAGATTGACTAATTTGTTAATGTAAAAAAAACTAAATATTTTTTTTAATTTTCTTTAATAAAAAAAATATTTGGATCTGATGATTCTTCTACCAAATAAAAAAAAATCTAATTTTTCTTGATTTAATTTTTATTATTTATTTAAAGTCAAATTATTTTCTATTTACTTTAAATATAATAAATTTTAAAAAATTTAAATTAAATTTAAAATTTAAATTATATTTTTTTGAAAAAATTATCTGTTTGATTATTTGAGTATAACTAATCCAAACTCAAAAATATTTGGTTTAGTTTCATTTGTTATAATTTCATGATGAAATTTTATTTTATACATATATTTACAAATATTAATAGTGTTTGATTATCACTATATACTGCCTTAATTATTTGATTGATTTTTTCTGTAAAATTATTTATTATTTATAATAAATCATTTGTCAAATTATTAAAATATGTTCTGTATCAAAAAACTTAATTTTTATTCAAAACACATTTAATTTTTTAATAAATCATTAATTATTTTTCTTTTTATTTTTTTTTAATAATCAAACTATTTATAAATTTATTAAATAGTTTAGTTATTCTAATTGCAGTTATTTTAGTCTGACAACATTCTATAAATTTAAAAGCTAATTCAATTAGAATTTTAAATAAAATATAATTAATTAATAATTAAAAATAATATAATATAAAATTTTAAAATCTTAAATTAAAATTTTACCAAAAATTTTCAGGTATATGCTAATTATTAAGATTTTTCCAAAAGTTTTTATTATATAAACTAATATAACGTAAATATTTTAAATTGCAAGTTTTAATGATTAATGTTTATTAATTATTATATAAGACTTTTAATCATCATTTTGACATTCATGAACTTGTTGAAAACTATTTGCTAATATCAAATTCTCATAATATTATTTGTGTTAATATATTAAACTATTATAGAAAATATTTTTTTTTAATGATTTTATTACTAATTTTATATTTAAATAATTTTTTTATTACTCAATACTATTATATAATTAAAAGAATTATATTAAAATATTATTATAAATAATAATAATAAATTAAATAATAATTAGCAAATGTAAGAGGTAAACTATATATAACCTTATTTTAGAAATAATAGATAATATAAGAGCATAATCTATATTTAAATCATATTTATCATCAATTTCAATATATAATTTTCTATAATCTTGATCATTTTTTAATCAAAATTTATTTGAAAATGTTAATTGATAATATCAATCAGATGAATAAATAGGTTTATTAAAACTGATATTTAATAATATAAAATATAATCATAGGATTTTAATTTATTAACAATTAAATTATTAAATTATGTCTATAAGCTTAAATTATTTTTAAATTTTTTATTATCTCTTTTAATAAGTTGTCAAAGTTTGTTATTATCACTAATTTAATACTAATTTGTTAAGATTTTATCAATTACTTCTTTTGAAGCACCATTAAATGGAATTAATATTTTAGCTTTAATACCTTTGATGATTCTTTAGTCTACTCTTTAACTAATAGTTTCTGAATTTCTAATAGCATAAGTTAAATTAATTTGAGAAATTTTTGGTATATTATTTACATATTATGCTGGATTATTTGATCCTTGAATTCTAATACATAATGGAATTTCTGAATTTAACCATAATAAGTAATATTTAGAAATTACTCTAATATTACATAAATGCATATCATTGGCATTTTTTAATCACATGTTTTCAAACAATTACTAATAATATATCACATAGGCATTGTACATAATCCATACCAGCATTGTTGATTTTTTTTCTATTCCTAAATTTATTTGTGAAAGTAATTCGATTCCTAGTTTGGTTGCCCATTCTAAATAGTCTACTGCTCCTTGTATACGTTTAATAGTTAAAATTTCTGCTTTAATTAATGTAAGTGTAATTTGTCTATTTTGGTTTTTTAAGTGACAATTTTCTAAATAGGTAAACTTGCTAAATACCACTCAGCTGCTCGGCCAAAAAGTACATTTACTGAGCCATCATTATTATATTTAACTTGTTTTCATAACTCTCCATATCAAATAAGTTTAGTTAAATATGCAAAGTAGAAGTATATAATAACTAGAAATAAATTTATAACTTATAAAAGATAAAATCAAGTTTAAGAGAAAGAAAAAACTTGTAAAAGATAACCAAATTAAACGCGTAAAATAAAAAACGTGACATTAAGTTTATATATTAATAGTAAAAAATCTTTTCGCGTAATTGAAAAAATAAAATTTTAATTTACACTTTATTAACAATATCACATATGTGATATTTTCAAATTAGATATTTAATCAATAATTCAAAAGCCACATAGTTTGTACAACAACTTCTATAATCAAAAACGATCCATTTGCGCAGCAAAAAAATCAAAACCAATTTGCGAGTCACGTTCAACAGCGATGACCCCAAATTTTGTGCAAATAAATCAACAATATTGATCGTAAAGTTCGGAATAATTATTTTATGCGGTTGATTTCGAAGTGCTTTTTTGCTCAAATTTTTTTCACATACGCAAGATAATATTGCTATTTGAATCTTTGGATCTTGCATTATGCTTCAGGTTAAAGTTGGTAATAATCCAAAAATCAATATTTAAATTATGATTTTACACTCATCTCCCTTCGCTGTTTGCAGAAATTGTTGAATCTTACAGTTTGTCATTACAAGACAGAGCTGAGAAGGAAAAATTCGATAGTGAAAATCGCAGGATATCCAATCACCCAACAGAAAACGAAAGAAAGTTCAATTTGAATATGGTATTTTGTAACATAACTTGAATATGAATTTAATTTCATTCTCTATATGATCAAAGAATTATTGTACTACATTACTACGCCTTGTGACTTCTCATCACGTGTGGTATGGAAACGTATCTACTATTTGTAGAATGATATCTTAGAAGAAATAAGAGACTTATACTATATTGCTAACTAAATGTAAACTTTCCTCTTATCACAATCACATAAATAAATATATCATGTAAATTATTTAAAACAAATGTTATAATAAATACAAACGATAAATCATGACCAAATATTTCCAAAAAAGGAACTAAATAAGAGAAACTTTAGTTCTAACCAAACCCCCACGAAAATTTTTGATTGGCTTAGGAAGAAGCATTTGCAGTCGTCTAAATGCCTCATGAATGTGTGAGGGTTGTAAAGCAGTTTGCTCTGAAGGAGGTGAAGAAAATAAATACACATTCCTATTTTCATGTTCATCTTCAAATGTTCCTCTAGGACGATTGAGGCTCTTGTTGTGAATAATTTGGTCCTTGTCTAAATCCCTTTTGACCCTTAAAGCTGTTTCCGTCAAGGTGCTAACCATCTCAAATGTGAGAAATCCGAGAATGTCTATAATGTCATCATTAGGTTTCATATCTATATAAGCAGACATGTTAGCCCATTCACGGAATCGTTTTGCTTTCCTATATGTGAAAGATGCTTGTCGACATTCTGAATAATGCACATACTCTTCTCGAGTCATGGCTCGAGTTATTTCATCAGCATCCTAATATGGAGCGAAAAACCGATATTTAAAATGTCACAAATTATCTTAAACAGGTAATTTTTAAGAATCACACCTTTAATCTTTGTATAGAATCATTATAAGCCTCTAATTCTTCTTCATCATCGTCATCAGAATCAGCATTTAAAAATTCAGAAAACGAATTGACAAGTTCCCAGGAGAGTTTAACTTTCATTTTTCGTGCCTTGGCTATTTATTGATCTTTAATCAAGAATAGTTCTAATTCAGCAAAATATGATTAATAGCAACAAAATGATATAAAAAACCTTACCAATATAGATAATATAGATGGTTATAAAATGATAAAATAATTAATGTCATATAGAATGAATTTCGAATTTAAAATTAAGTCAAACCTGCATTCGGTTCTTCCATTATTTCTTCAGCCGCATCATTACCACCCGAATCTTTTGCATTCTTTCGTACATCTTTCCAACTTAAGTAGGTTCTTAACCGATTTACTTTAGCACGATCATGACGAATTAAAAAAATTAAATCTTCAGCGCTCATGTACCTTGACCCACGTTTTGAAGCTTGAGCTGCAGCTTGTATAATCTGATTAATTAGGTGAAAATTATCAATTATTCGTAAAAAAAAAAACTATATTATAATAGTATTACTTACGATTTCAATCACTTGAGAGCGAACGATATCTTCAACAAGATTTATCGTTTCAAGTGAAGGTTCTGAGACCTCACCGAAAACAAACATCATTTGTTGAATCTCTGAAGAATAACGATATTTTGATTTTTCTTTTTCCTACATAAAGGTGAATACATAATACTAAATAAATAAAAGTTCAATTTTCAAATAAATGAATAGATAAATAGTGAAAATTTTCATACCATGAATTTTTTTTTTTCAATGAGAAAATCTGAATACATCAAAATTTTATATTTTATTGTCGTACAATTACAAAAAATTGATATAAATAATAACATAAAAGACGATTTACATTCTAAATTAATTCCCTCACATATATATATATATTTTTTTTATTTGCTGTAAAAAACTTCAAAATGTCTGGTCGTCAAGGTAATCAAAATAAAATAATTTATAATTTGATAAACTTTTCAGTTATTTTAACCATTTCTCTCTTCATTAAGGCGGTAAATTAAAGCCACTTAAACAAGGCAAGAAGAAATCAACAGATGTGGATGATGCTGACCTCGAATTCAAGAAAAAGCAACAAGAAGAAGCTAAAAAATTAAAAGAGTTAAAAGAAAAGGCTAAACAAGGTGGACCGCTTGGTATGTTAATAATTTAATAAATTTTTTTTTTTTAAAAAAAAAAAGAACTTTTATATTTAAAAACTAATAAATTTATCAAATGTTAGTCGGTGGTGGTATTAAGAAGTCTGGTAAAAAATAAAGAAAAAGAAATCATCACAAATTTTTATGCATTGTTAATACGAAGTTTATTTCTAGTAGAAATATATATCTCATTTTAACTTTAGAAATTTTAGTTGAATTTTCTATTCTATATATGTAATTCATCATTAATAATATAGAGGTTTATTATTAAGTTGTGATTTGTTCTATTTCTTCTTACTCTTCTTTAATGACATATTTTTTTATAAAATTTTGAATAGCATCAAAATAACCGAATTGAATTATGGTGTCATTATGAGTTCCATCACTAAATTCTTTCCATAATTTTGTTGCTCTTGTTTGAGACAATTCATATAATTGACGCATATGTGATGGTGGAACCAATTCATCACGAAGCCCAGATAAAAATAATATCGGAATATTAACGATTTGTTGTATAGATTGTTCAGATGGCCAGATTTGATGACAGAGAAAGGTCAGATATCTAATTTGTGGCAATACATATGGTATCACTTTGGGCTAAATAAAAAATATTAAGGAAAAAAAAAAAGGCTGAATGATTGAACGAACGAATGAAGAAAAAAAAAATAAAATAATATGGATTATTACAAGACTAAGAAAAGTATTTTCTAAGATCATGCCACTGAATTTATCTTCATTCCTGGATACTAGATCAATTGACACGGCACCTCCAAGGGATTGGCCATATGCGATCAATTTTGTATTTTTTAAATCCTCATCATTCAAAATAAAATCTAATATTGTCTATGATGAATAAAAAAATTTAATTAATTTAATCTAAATTTTATAACGAGAAAAAAAAACCCCCCCAAGTTAAAACCTGCGAATCAATCCTAAGACCTTTTTCTGTCGGAGTTCCTTCACTCAGACCATATCTAATATGTGGGTATTATCTGTCAAAATTTATCAAGGTATAAATTTAAAACCTAAAAAATATTTTATCAAAATTACCCTCTGTATGAAAGCATTACGACATTACACTTGAAGTCGATATATAATTTTCTAGCAATGGGTAATCTATGTCCCTAGATAAACATGAATCAATGAATTTCTTTATAACACATATCCAAATAAATGACTCGAAAAAAAGTACCATATTTCCGGCATTGGCCTATTTTATTAAAAAAAAAAATAGTGTATACGATGAGTGACATCAAAAAAAAAAAGATACATCAAAATACATGAAACTTACATGAAAGAATAAAATGGTAGGTCTATCTCTTGCATTTTGGGGTAATTTACATATATATGCTCTTAATTGAATCCCATCTCTTGTCATTAAAAGCTCTTCGGTGTAATCCATCCCAAATTCGGAGGGTTTCGATACCTATTTAACGAATAAAGCTTCACGAAATTATATAGTTGCATACCAAAAATTACGCGAGTAATACTTACGAGGCTTCGAGATCCATTAGGAAATTTAGCAGGATATATCAAAGAACATTGAAACGAGTATAATAAGCCTGCAAAGGTTAAAGTTAATAAAGATGTACCTGCTATAAGGTACTTTACGTAACTTGGTAAGTAATCTGAAAGTGACATTATTGAATCTTTATGAGTTCGAATCGAGTAAGATTATTCGATCATGTATTGCGTAATTGGTACTATCGTCAATCAAAAAAAAAGGTTATCAGGGGCATTAATCGAGGTCTTTCCATAAGTGGACATCTGGGTGGCTTGGCTGTGTTAAGAAGTTACATTAACGATATCAATGATTATGCAAGATAGCACGCGTGAAAGATATAATTACCTCGATTCTCAAACGAACATTATCACTAAATCTAATTAGACAGAAATTTTATAAAGCGCAGTCATTATATATTTGACCTTCCTTAAATAGCTTATGCAAATTTGTACACGCATGAAAGCTCAGTGCGAAACGGAAACGGCTGTGCTACTCGGTGCCTGCAGTATTCACAAAGAATGGGTGAGGGCTTATGTCATCCTTGTCACCTGAAGCAATTCTATGAAATAGGGTTTGGGGATTTTACTTTTTATAATCGTCATACGATCTGCGGTTCGATTTTAACTTTCATATAAACTTGATTTCCATCCTGGGCAGGGTCGTTAGCTGTTAGCTCCCGACATTTTGGTTATCGTACCATCTTACTTTCTTTATAACTGTTGCTTTCTTCTCTTTCCTTTCTTTTTTGGCTTTCAAACTTTGTGCTCTTTCCCTTTCAAGTATACGCGTTTAAAAAACGGTATTTAAACCTACCGTGTTGAACCTTTGGTGTCCAAATGTTGTAGAAATTATATTGCGTACCCTTTTAACTGTTATAAATTACCTACCCACCTTTAATTTTTAAAGTGGTTATAGACTTTTTTTTCCTAAAGTTTTCCCCCCACTTTCTTAAATAATAATAATCATAATCATATTAATATTAATTTAATATTAATATTAATTTTTTTTTTTTTCTTTTCAAACTTTTATTTATCCTTTGAAAGTACTACGCTTATTCTTGTGCAAAGTTATTCGAAACCCTCTGATTTAATTATTGTTTTATTAGTTATTTTTATATCGTTTTCCTTTTTTGACAAGAAATGGGGAAACGTTTTCCTGGTATTTCAATCAAGATTCCTGAGAGTCGTTTTTTCTTTAACCATATTTCAAAGGTATGTTTTACAAAATAGTGTAAGGGTGTAACTCCCGGAGAAACGCGATAACTTTTCAGGGGCTTTTTCCTATATGTATACCCTTGACCAATCATTTTTCTTATAGCGACATGGAAGAAACTTTTTAGCTCTCACAGCAATTAAGTCACTTTTTACTTGGATTTCTTTTTTTCACTCCCCTGCGCTCTCGTAATTTATCTATTTTTTGATTTTTTATGTTTTTATTTAGAGAAATCTAACCCTAAACTTACATCCTTTTTCACTTAGGAACCGGATATAAAGTTACCTAACCTGCTGCTCACCGGCTCGCCACTTCCTTCCCCTTTAAAGACGGACGAATCATTTGATATAGATTTGGATCGCTCTAGAAATGAGTTTAACCAATTTAATCAAGATTTGGATGAGATTGCTCATTCCATGGAAAAATTATTCGAGGATGCTCCTGTATGGCTTGCAAATATAGAGGAAATTAAACGAAATCAAGGTATGATGAATAATGTTTTTTACGAAAGCTTCTTTTTTGATTATCATGACTCATTTTTCTTTTTAAATTTTTATTTTTAAAAAAAAAAATAAAATAAAATAAAATAAATAATATTTTTTTATTAGATTCCGTCGAAGAATGTATTTTAGCTACACAAGAAAAGATTTATGAAAATGAAAACCGTTTGGAAAATTTAAAATCACTTCAATGTGAAGACACAGAGGATATCAATAATGATCTAAAAAAAATTCAAGAACAGATATTTGATGTTGGTTTTTTTTTTTTTTTTATAAAATATAGATTTATTTTTCCTTTTTTATTCTTCAACTAATATTAATAATAATTATTCCCGTTTAGATCCTCGAAAAACATCGATGTGCTAGATCAAATGTAGCAAATATTTGTAATAACCAATCCAGAACTACTGAACAACTTGATCTTATGTTGCAAGCTATACACGAGTATGCTCGATTAATCCAGGAAGCAAGTCTCACAATTAAACATTTCGATGATGTTGGGTCACCATTGAAATACGAATCACTGGACTTGTCACCGTTTAGACATTATAAGGTATTTGATAATAAACGAAACAAATTTTTTTTTTGAAATATTTTTTTTTTTTTTTTTTTTTAAAAAAAAAAAAATAAATAAATAGAAAGTTTTTATACTAACTCCCGAATGATGAAAGGGCAGTTCCTACTTCGAAGACCATATCTATCAAGTTTCCCGTGTAAATACTCCAGAGCCGCAATCTCCGATATCTCCTATATCACCAATATCAAATATGCTGAATTCACCAGAATTACAAAGCGCATCTACAACGACAACTCATACTTCAGCAACAACTCCAATGAGTTTAGATATCAATTCTTCCGATTCCCAATCTCCACACCCACCTATACATCCATTACCACGCTTTCAAATTAAACATCAAAAACTTTTACTTTTGAGTATGAGACGAGCTGCAGTTGGATTGAAGTTCTTGTTATATGCCAATCAATTAAATGATTATAAGAATGAATGTCCAGACAGTGATTGCGACTTAGATTTGGATTTATTTGATGAGATCTCTACAGAAGAAGTAGTGACAACTACTTATAGGGATATCATTCCCGCTGATAAGGATTCATCCAGTAAATGCAGTTTATCTAGTACGAGCAGTTGTGATAGCAGTTGTGACAGTAACAACAGCGATAGTGGCGGAAGTGATCACGAGAAGAATAAAGAAGGTACTCCAGGCAAAATATGTGTCACTATACGCAAAAGATCGCTTGTTGTTCATTCGTATGATCTGTTGCGATTTGATAGGAGAATGTTGGTAAAGCAACAGGGATGAATTCTTTAAGATACAAGCGCATGTTAATAATGTAAGAGATGAGAAGAGGGAATGAGAATTAGAATGTATAATATTTAAAGATTAGGACTTTTTATTTGTGAAAAAAAAAAAAAAAAAAAAAAAAAAAACCATTCCAAAAATTTCAGAATCATTAACAAATAGGTTATTACCTATTCATACACTTTTACACAACTCCCCATCATTTTTCCTTGTTGAAGCTTTTATTTTTGAATTTATTAGAGCTTAAAGATCAACATCAACAAAGGAATTTTTTTTTTTTGTATTTTATATTACAAATCGATTTTCTTTTTTTTTTTTTTTTTTTTTTTTTGTATATGTTCTATTGCATAATCAAAGAGGGTTTTATATATATAAAAAACATTTTTGAATAATATATTTTAAGTTTGAAAAGGAAAAGAATGATCTATATATTATTTTTATTATTCATTTATTTATTATATCCTAATACAATTTAGCATCATCAAGAAATTTAAATAATTTCACCATTTTAAGCATAGAAAGTTCATTATTTATATATAATATTAAATCTACTCATTTTGATAAATTTTATTTTAACAAATCA